TCTCATTCCCTTTATTTCAAATAATGGGAATTACACATGTGTTGTCACGTATCCAGAAAATGGGCGTACCTTCCATCTCACCAGGTCTCTGACTGTAAAGGTGGTAGGTAAGCATGACTTGTGTTGAGTACACATGACAAATGCAATAATCATATTTTGGTTATTAATTATTTATTACATTTAACAAATAAAAGACTTCTTTTGTTCACTACTGCAGTTCTGTGTGTATTGTAAGTAATCCAATAATTGTTGGTTGACTGAATATGTGAGTGAATGAAGTAAAACACATGGGAATGAAAGTGTACTAGATAGATTGGTGTTTAAATTATATCACCTCTACTTTATAGCGACATGACTTGGTTTTGGTGAAGATTTCAGTCTCCTAATCTATACTCTAGGACTACCTAGCTCTCCAAATAACTGAGAATATTAGAAATAGCATATATATGTGCAGTTCCAGGCAAGCAGTGGCGACTTACTGAATGGTATTAATTTTATCATCAAAAAAGTATTTTACTTGAATTAAGTAAACTATGTCTTTCTATGTATTGAAATTTCTGTTGTTATTGGTTGCCGTAGGTATTAGCTAGCAGTGTTCAACCATTATTTTGCACTGAGAGAATAGTTGGTAAGAAATAGGGGGAAAAAATGGATGATCCTAGACAGAGTCAAGACTCCTATCAAACCCAGAGATCAAGATAACTAGTATCATGTGGCTTTTGGGGTTAAGCCCTAAATACCACCATCTCTGCTGTGCTCAAAATGATGGCGTATTAGAGGGAAACACTGAGTCCCAGTAACTGGAAGTGACCTGTTTTGATACTCCATTAAGTGGAACAAGTAATTCTAAATGCAGGTCAGTGCTCAGGGATTTGTCTGTTAGTCTGACACCAGATTCACTGTAAATTAGAAAAAAAAAAAAGGTTTTAACAAAGTGCAAGTAAAATTCAAATGAAATAATTTTTTAATCACTTCTTCTTTGTTTACTTTTGAAATAATTCTGAGGTTGGGATTAATTCAGGACAAAAAGGAAGACTAAATTTACAGTCCAGCATGAGAGGATTTTAGAAGTTAAATGAATTAATTATCTAAGCATATATTCATCTCAGCAGTTGTTTCTAATACATGTACTTCAATGTGTCAGTTTTTAGAAAGTTGGGAACAGGTGTATTTAGTCATCCTGATTTATAGATATAAAATTTGACCTAGAGGGGTGAAGTGGTTCTGAACATTGAAGCAACACAAATTCATTTTTTAAAACTGCAAAACATTGAATATTTATTATATATCACTAGGAGATTACTTAATTTATATTTTTAAATTTATTCCTCAAACTGAAACTCTGAGGTAAGTTTTATTTATCCTTAGTTAAGGAAAACTTGCTTTCAAAGATTAATAAAAATTTGTCTTCATAGAGCTAGAATGTGACATGGCCAGGATGTGGCCACTGAATCTTTGACCCTTAAAACCACCTCCAAGGTAGTTTTCTTTCAACTTATGAATATAGATTATTATAAAAAGTAGTACTCCCAACATTTATGTACTCTCAACATTTATCTGATATCTCATTATTACTTAGACATATGGGCTATCATTAATTTTTTTAAAAATTTCTGCTGATCTCTGCATTCATATTATATTTATATTTAACTAGGTCCTATGTTAGACACTGAGCATTTTGAGGAGAAATATTTAGATAATAACCATAACTAATAATCATGGATTACAAATTGAAAATATATACTACTATCATGACATATTTTTTATCTAAAATTAATTTGGCATTTCAAAAAGAAAAGGAAATATATAGAGAAGAAATCATAAAGATGTAAAAGCAGTTAATTGTAATGTAGTATGGAAACGTATCTCATGTAAGCCTCAGAAGTCAAGAACACTGTTTAAACCTTGTATCCTGAAATACGGAGGAAACTCAATATGTGTATTTGTTTCTTTGTAAAGGAAAACCTGTTTCTATTGGCAACACTTCTGTGACCAAACATGTGAGTTTTCCACACCAAGCAGTTCTCCAATTCTCTGTGGACACCATCTGTGCTTCCTACAATTTAATTCTGTTTGATACTAACTACTTGGAGCTAGGACAGACCCCACAGGTTAAGGTTCAGTCCCTCAGAACTGCCTCAGTCCCTCATCAGAAGCCAGTTTCGAGCAGTGTGTCCCCAAGTCCCCCATGCTAGAGTCCTACTTGCTTACACACTGAGGATTCCCACAATGTCCTCCTCTGGTTCCGTGATCTTATGTAATGGCTCACAGTGATCACTTTACTTATATTTACTAGTTTATTTAAAAGGATTCAAATGAACAGCAGGTAAAGACATATATAGGGCAAGATTTGAAGGATCCTGAGCGAAGGAGCTTCTGTCTCCATGGTATTGGAGTATACCATCTACTTTCCAACCTCACGTATGGATGTATTTACTAACTAGGAGGCTCTCCAAACCTCACTGCTTAGGGATTTTATGCAGGTTTCATTATATAGACATGATTGACTTAATCATTGGCCATCAGTGATTTATTCAATCTCCAGCCCTTGTCTTCTTCCTGCACGTTGGGAATTGGGGCTGAAAGTTTTAGCTTTTTAATCTTGGCTGGGAATATCTCTTGCTCTGAAGTTATCTAAAGACTTACACCATGAGTCATCACACTAACATTCAAAAATATATCTCACTCCAAATACACCAAGAGTCTTACAAGTTCTTGGGTCAGGTACTGGGGACTTACATCAAATAACTGGAGACAAAGACAAATGATGCTCATATTACCTATAAACACTAAAATATTACAAAGGTTTTAGGAATGCTGTATCAGGAATTGGTAACAGAGACCAAATACATATTCCCTATTATGTTACACTTTGCTTGTTTTAAATGAAATGTAGTAATTGAGTTCATATTAGACCAAAACTATATGCCTTCTTAAGAATTGAAAAATTGTACCAGGAAAATTGGAAAGGCTTCACAGATTTTGGAATAAGGCTGCAGGATTTAATACTATCTCTCTTTTTTTTTTCTTTATTTTATTTTCCGTCCATCACAGGCTCTCCAACAGATGCACTACCCCCCCAGATCTATTCACCCAATGATCGTGTGGTCTATGAGAAAGAACCAGGTAATTATAGCTATGCCTCTAAAATTCACTGAGATTCTCTTAATTACAAAAAATAAAAGGAAACTTTAGTACAAGACAATAAGGACTACTATACATAAATACATGAATTTGAACTGAAATGTTGGCAGTTCTGGGGATCACCTACTTCACTGATCTCAAGGGCAGCTCGGGGAATCTTTGCTTCTCTCTCAGCATCTGCTCCCTTCTTCTGCTAGCAGTTTTCCGCTGCTGATTGGTGATTTTTGTGTGATGCAAACTTGACTTTGCACAAGGCTTTGACTTACTGAGGATGTAACAAGAACATAGGACATCCTTCAAGCTTCTGCTCCACTCTAAAAAGGGCAGAGGATGAAACTTGGATACAGGATCGTGGCTCTCATAGGTCTAAATCGATAGAGCTAATACACCTAGATTCAGAACACCACAGAATGTTTACTATGGCTCTCTTGCTCTCCTATTTTTATAATTTTTCATGCTGGAAAAAAAAAAAACTGCTGATAACTGTCTAAATAAGAAATAATTTATGTTCTTCTTACTCAACATTTCCCAAGTTAAGTGAATAGAAAACTATAGAAAAACTTTAACATTTTCTATATAGTATCATTTATAATAAATTCATTCTGTATGCAATATGAAAGAGAATGTGAATAAAATGTACTAAAGATAATACAGTCAATGATCAGCATGAATGGAGAACAGCAATATCAAAAAAAAAATTAAAATGAGTTTGCAAAAGTTGTTTGCCTTATTTAGAGATTACATTATGGGATCTGCCAACCTCAAATAAGCTGAATTTCCTAGAATTAGCTTTGGCTTTGTATAATAATATGAACATTCTTCCTACTGCCAGGGTAAATTCCTATTAATCACTAAAATATGTTTCATCTACTTATAATATCATGTTTACAAAAACAGTTCTGGATTTGATGTTCATTTTATCACTTTATTGATCTAGGAAACTGGAGGAGAAAGACATACGAACTATACATCAGAAAGGAGAATAGAATATGATCCCAAAGTTAGATCAACCTAAGTACAAATCAGGGTGATCAGATAACCTATCCTCTAAACCTGACACTTTCTGAGAGTGAAAATAGTCACTATTAATAACTCACCAGGAATCCAGGCATAAAAGAGTATTCTTCTTAGCAAGCTAAGATGGGAAATCCAGTTTAGGTCAAATTCTGGCCTAATACTTAAAATAATTTGACCTAGAAATGTCTTTTATCATTTATGTGTTAGGTAGTTTTCTGTTGCTGTGACATAATACCTAAAACAACAACTTTAAAGGAGGATTGGTTTATTTGGGCTAAGTTTCAGAGGTTTCAGTCCATGGAGAGCTGGCTCTCTTGTTTCCAGGCCTGTGGTAAAGTAGAACATCTTGGTGGTAAATGTGTGGTAAACCAAAGATGGCCAGAAAGCAAGGGGAGGGCAGGGGTCCCCATGTACCCTTCAAGGGCATGCCTCCAACTCCTAAAGGTTCTACCACCTCCCAAAAGTGCCTGCAGCTGGGGACTAAGCCTTTAGCATATGAGATTTGTGTTACATTTAAGATCCACACTATAACTGTCTCTAAGATTCAGTTTTTGCTTCTGTAAAACATGAGTATATCCTTAAGATTAAATAACCTTGATTGGTATAAATATTTAGCACAATTACTTGTGCAAAATTCCAGTGTGTAGATTGCTGCTGCTGTTACTGTTAACTACTCTTCTCTCTGTCTGGGGTTCTCCCTAATCTCATTTTTCCATCTCAGAAGGATAGTTTGGAACTTCTATTTTTAAATTGCCTGTAAGTTTATTGAATGCACCCCAATATCTTGAGTGTTTCAAAATGAGGAATTTGTGGTCAATTCTCTTCATTTTTTCCATCTTCCTTGGACAACAACCAAAGATCTGGGGAGTCTTTTCTTGGTCACCCTTTGTTTATGAGAGAAATAACAGAAAAGAGGAGCAGTCCATAGAGATTTAAGACTAAAAAGATATTGCCAAAGCCTTTTTGAATAAACAATGTCACTTATAGAATATGTACATTGCATTAAATGTGGCCATTCTAGTAATTTTAAATAAAGCTGTTGACCTTCTTTTATTGATTTTTGTCTTCTATTTTATTATTATTTTTTGTAATGAAGTATGGTAGGTTGCATTAAGATAGTCCACTAGAGAATTAGACCAATGGAGTCATGTGAAAGTTGAAAATGATGTATTAACACAGATTAAGTTTATCTGCTGTTTTTTTTTCTTTCTTTCTTTTTTCTTTTCTTTCTTTTTTTTTTTTTTTTTTTTAAGGAGAGGAGCTACTCATCCCCTGTAGAGTCTTTTTTACATTCATTAAGGACTCTCACAATGAGGTTTGGTGGACCATTGATGGGAAAAAACCTGATGACATCACTATTGACATAACCATTGATGAAAGGTATCATGGGGGCATGTAAGGGGTGATTAACCTTTGTCCATCAGTCAAAGGCACTTTGAATTATATTAGTTAATAAAAGTAAAAATTCTCATTTTTGCCTATAACTAACAAAATTTAGCAAAATTTTCATATATTTAATACTTACATCTCAAAGCAAGGATACTAGACTTGTCATTCATGGACCACATGTCACCCAAGAATTGACTTAGAATAACCTGAGGCTAGGCATCTTTATCATAGTTTGCCAGCATGTACCATACTGCTTCTTAAGCCCTACAGGATTCATGCATTTATGATGTCAATTGGAATCAGATGGAATGTACATTCTACATGAATGGACAGCTTACAAAATAAGATTGAATATACATGAAAGTAGTTGTTTTCTTTTTCTCAATCCTGTATGTGCCCATGTACTTATGCCTCAGATAATTATGGGATAGCTCTTGTAGGGCCTTGAATATGCATACCCTGTCTTTCTCCCCCTCAAATGCTTCATAATTACTTTGAAAATATTGAATAAACAAATAAATGTTCATGAAGTTTTGTTTTAAAAGTGAATGGGTAACAATATAGCTCACTCATAAAATAACAACCTGGGTCACTTTACCCTTAAAATTACCTGATTTTTAAGGGAGATGGAAAAGAAAAAAGTATCGAAGACAGAAGACTTCTCTGTAAATAAAGTATACCATTGCCAAAGAGCAACTAGTTCACTGCAGCTAGCAATGAGATTAGCTGATCAACTATGTGGCAAAGTAGTTTCAAGACCTTAAGCTTTATCACTTATGTGCAAATAGACCTTAAGCCACTTGAATTTCTAGAATTCTAAATCTATGTTTTCTTCTAACAGTCAATTCAAATTTTGTGCAAAAATCATAAAATGTCTACTTCGCAGCAGGTACGGTAGGAGTAACAATGATAGAGTAATATTTTCAATACAATGTGATAAATGCAGTGACTGAAATACATTGGATGTTATGGGAGGATTTAATAGGAGAGTCAGTCAGTTTAAGGAGATTATGTAATGCTTCTCAGATGATACAGTACCAAAATCAATATTTGAAGGATGAATAGAAATTTTTCTAGTTAAAGAAATGAAAAGAATGTTCCTAGTAAAAGGAACATCCTGCTTAAAGGCCTGGAGGTTAGAGAAGCAGAGCATATTGAAAGGCACAAAAGGAGCTTTCTGAAATTGAGCTGTTTTTTTTTTTTTTTCAGAAGGAATTGATGAAAGATGTGGCTAGAGGCTCCAAGGGAGAATTATTATTGATCATTTCAGGAATTCTGAACATCATGTTTCCCATCTTCATAATAATAATGAATGAATAGCAATGAAGTCATGCCTGTTCCTCCTTGCTGCTACTGAAACACATTCCCAGTGCTCAGAATAGCAGGGGAGTTAAATTTGGACTGAACCAATCAGAACCCTTAATCAGTTTTTCCTGACTGACAGACAGTAAGCCTCATCCAAAGGAGAACCTGTATGGCAGTTGCTATAGGAGATACATATTTTTCCTCTTAAAGGAATGGAGTACAAAACAATTTTAAATCTTGATCTTAGACCCAAAATACTTGGTCTTTCATTTACTGAGGTTTGAGCATATTTAATTTCACAAAGTTTTCTTGCTCTGAGCAGATCCTCCCTTTATCTGTTAGGATTTAACCATGAGATTTCCGTATCTTCATCCAAATATTCTACCTTTGTTCAGAATCCAAGCTTTTGGAGTCACCGAAGTACAGCATCTACTACTGTAGGATAATGATAATAGTCTTCAACGAACATTTATTAAGCTATTATTGTTTTAATACTTAAGCATTAATATAATCAGCTCTCAGAATTCTTCAGTAAGTTAATTCATATAATACACCTTGTAGGGATTACTACCTCCCTATTTCAAAACTGGAGCACACCGCATGAAAGATTAGCCATATTGCCCGAAGTTTATAGCACTAAATGACAAAACCTGGATCAAAACTCAAATAGGTTTGATCCCAGAAGATTCTTTCTAAATCAGTACAGCATCCTGCCTCAGAAATTTGAGTGAAGGAGACAGTTGGCTTTGAAGAAAAAGCTCTAGCAAGAAGATAGCATTGGGATTTGATCTAGACATTAGGATAGTGTGCAGATGGTGAAGAGCTTGTTGATATCTAGCTCTTTCCCTTTTATGGTCACTGCATTGCAAGTAACACTGCTCATCAGCATTCTTTCTGCCCTCACCTGGGTAGGGGCTCTGTGGGTGCTTATTTGTCTGATCCACAGAGCATAATGGCCCCCGAGTTTCACGAATGCTTTGGTTTTCTTTTCCTTGTGTCTAGCGTAAGTTATACTAAAACAGAAGATGAAACAAGAACTCAGATTTTGAGCATCAAGAAAGTTACTCCTGAAGATCTCAAGCGCGACTATGTCTGTCATGCTAGAAATGCCAAAGGGGAAGTTGACAGAGCAGCCAAGGTGAAGCAGAAAGGTAATGGATGCACTCAGCAGATGGATCTGTGAAGTCCAAATGTAACAAGTGGTGAATAGGAAAACGGGAGACACTGAGAGCTCCTAGCATGGCCTCTGACGCATAGTAATGAATCAAAGTTTGAATGAGAACTCGAGCAAAATTTCCATCTTTGTGAAGATACTCAAATTATTTTTTTTCTGATTAATGTTAGTACCTTTGTACCCAAATTGTTGCTCCAAAAATCCATACAATCATGAGGCTCAGTTTTATACCTATTCCATCATAAAAAGTGAAAAATTAAGAAAATATTCATAGCTACCAGGATGTAATAAAATTGGTAGAGTCACATGTTGTTTGTGAATTATAATGATACTTTTAGAAATCATTGATAGCAGAGTTCAAGTTTCATAAAGTTGATCATATCTTATGACTTAATGCTTTTGGAGATTTTCCTAAATAAATCACCTAACAAAAAGACAATTAGGTATCTATGAAAATTCATAGATTTATCTATAAAAATGAAACACAAACAGCAAATCTAATTGTGTGCAAGTAGTTAAGGGATAGAGTATTCATTTGCAGAAAAATGTAATTTTAAAATTACCATTTTACATACTATTTGTCAATATTAAAGTAGATTTCATAATGTACCACTAGCTATAACTGCTAAAATGAAAAAAAAAAATAACTTAAAATAATGTAAAAATGATTCCTATGTTAATATTACCCTATTTTTACATAATAAATAAAAATTATAAAGCCTTCTTGTGTGAGCTGTTGCTCTAAAACAGGCTGTCGAATATTATTTTGGGGTCTCTCCCTTAATACAGTATCCCAGACAATTAATCCCTTTCAGAATATTTCTCAGTGGTTGAGAGAAAAGAAATGATGTCTTCACATCACACATGCAATGTGGTCATTCAGAAACATCCTGGATCCTACTGTTTGATAAAGCTTATAATATTCATAATAAAAGTGAAAATAAAAATTAAAAAAAACAGCTTATAATTGTTACATTTTGCAGTGAGACTAAATCTTTTTTTTTTTTTAACTAATGAACAAATGGGATGCACCTGAACACTTCATTACACATGAGATAGAGGCAAAGCCTGAAATGTGTATATCTCTCAAGTCTTACTGGATTTGTTCAGGATAAGTCATTGCTTCTGCTCCTCAGTTGCCTAAAGACTAAAGTACATGATGTTAGCAGTTCTTCAATGTTAAATCCTGAAAGCACTACTAAAAATCATTATGGATTACATCATGCAATGCATTATCTTTTCAGCCTGTTGAAATTGTGATTTCTGTGCATCTTAACTCCGTGACCTTTGAAAAGTCACTGAATCTCTCTGAGTCTCAATTTCTTAATATTTAAAGTAGGCGAATGAGTGCCAATACCTCATCAGGTTGTTTTAAAGTCCTCAAAGCAGGTACTAGTGTATATTTCTGTGTATTAAATGCTCAGTAAACGTTAGCTTTAAGTATTATTTCCACAAGGCTTTCATAGGTGTTACTTGACAAAGGCTTTCAAATAAATATCATAGGTGAGGTTAAGCAGTATCAATCGAGTTATTTTAATTCAGGACTCATAGAGTCTTTAATATATAACATTTGATATGAATATCTGCAGTGGGTTGGATTACTATTGGCAGGATATTTTCAAATATGTTTCCATATTTCTTAATTATGGAGCATTTTATTTGGATTTTTTTCTGAGACTTGTATTCTGGGGAACAATCATGGAGGGTTATATAAATTAATAAGTAATTGTCAAAGCATAGAAACTATATAGAAATAAAGGACAAGTCTGCCCACCATAGTCACTTGAGTAGGTATCCTAACATAGAAGCCCTGCTCTGAATGTAGCATGGACACCATCAGGGTGTGAAAGACGTGTGGACCCACCAGACCAGATGCTCTGTCCTGAAAGGAAAGCCAGACAATGAGCCATTCAGATCTGTACACCAGTGGTACCAGAGGGGTGGTGGCTTTGTTTTACTTAGCTTCTGTTCTGGGCCAGCTAGTGCTCGAATTCAGATATGATATCTGAGCTCACATTCATGCTTTGCATTTATGAATCCTTCTTTGATTCATTAACAAGCAGTCTATGTACTCTATGAAAATGATGAGAGGAAGGGGATTGGATCTAGAATAGGTTTTATTGACAGCATAATTGTATCAATCAGCCAAAGCCAAGTGTTATAGAAGATGGAGCTAATGTAAACATGTGACATGTGCACTTGGTTTATAATAGGAAAGTGCTGGGGACCGACGGATGGTGTATGTTTAATTTTATAAGAACCTGCCAAATCTATTTCCAAAGAGGTGGCATCAATTCCCGCTTCCACTAACAATGCAAGTGCCCTATTTCTTCACTACTTTTGGACCTGTCAAATCTTAAAATTTTAGCCATACCACTGAGTAGTGGTAGGATGTCATTTTTCATTTGTACTTCTCAGAGATTAGTGTCATTAAATACTTTCTATGAGCTTATAGGTCACTACTTACTAGTTATTTCTGTGAAGAAGTGTCCTTTGACATCTTTAGCCCACTTTTTGGTCATTTGTTATTTAATCTAATGTGTTATAGGACATGCACCTATGTGCACACACAACAACACATTCTCAATACAAGTCATTTGTCAAATATGAAACTATTTTCACCTAGTATATGAATTCCTTTTTTCTTTGATAGACATAATTTTTTTAAACAATTATGAAGTTTGTTTTATGAATTTCTTCTATTATGTTTAGTACTTTCTAAGTCTTGTATTACCAGTCTTTGTCCTATATTAACAGTCCTGTATTCCTATGAAAAATTAGATTTTTCCTTATGTAGTTAGGCCTATGATGCATTTCAAATTACGTTTTTATAGTGTGAGGTATATGTTAAAGTCTAGTGTTTTGTTGTTGTTTTTCAAATAGCTGGTTGCTCCATCATTATTATATAGAAAATATTTCCCTTTTTTCCTTGAATTATTTTGGTAACTTGGCCAAAAAATTCCTTTGCCTTAATGACAGCTGGTCTATTTTGGTATCTCCTCTTCTGTTCTATTAACCTGTGCCTCTTTGGTCCAATACCTCTTCATCTTGATTAACATAACTTAAGATATATGTAAGGATTATTATAGAGACCATATGTTTTCATATAGATTTTAGTATCAGCTTGTCAAGATCTATACAAAAGCTTGCTGGAATTTTGTTTTGGACTGTATTAAACATATAAACCAATTTGGGGATAACAGAACACTTAAAAATATGGCATTTTCCCATCTTGAAGATGATGTTTATCTCTTACTTTATGTTTGTCTTCATTAATTTCTTTTAGCCTTTTTTTCTGTATTTGAGTGTATGAGTTTTGCACACATAGTATCAAATTTAACTCTCTATATTTTGACTTTTGTGTTGTTCTCACAGTATATTCAAATTCTACTTTACAATTGTTCAATAATAAAACACAGAAGTCCAACTAATTGATTGATCTTGATTTTTTGACCTTCCCACATTCATTAATTATATAGGAAGCTTTTGCTTGTTTGCTTGGTTTGGTTTTGGCTCCTTAAGATCATGTCATCCATAAATAAAAAGAATTTTATGTATTCCTTTCCATACTTTATACCTTTGATTATTTTGCAGTGTATAGTTCTTGTTTTTGGACCGCTCATACATTGATCAGTAAATTATGAGACATGATCGTCTTTGCATTTTTCCCAAATTTAGAGGGCAGGCATTCAATATTATATATTAAATATGATGTTATCTATAGGTTTTACTGTAAATGACTTTTATCTACATAAAGGTAACCTTTTATTTTTAGTTTGCTGAGAGGTTTTTTTGTTTGTTTGCTTAATGAGTGTGTTGAATTTTTATTTCCATCTGTTGAGAGATTCATGAGGTTTCTTAATTTTAATCTGTCAGTGTGATAATTTATAATGATTGTTTTGAATTTTTCATCCAATCTTGCATTCTTTGAATAAATCCCCATATCATCACGATTTTTCCCTGTATATTACTAAGACTTGATTTGTTAATGTTTTGTGAAAATATTCATTCATGTTAAAGATTTGTCTTAGTCTTTGTTCATGAGGGATATTGACTTAAATTTTTATCTCTTGTAATGCCTTTTACTAAAATTTAGAAATAGCTTCTTTTGCTATTATCTGATAGCCTGTGTATAAAATTGGTACCTATTTCTGGCTCAAGTTTTTAAAAATCTATCATTTTTTATTGATGCATAGCAATTATCCAGAGAGTAGGTTTCATTGTGGCATAGTCATACAAGCACATAACATTTTGATCAATTTCAGTAACTCCCCTTGCCTTCCTCTCTCTTCCCCAATCCCATTCTTTCACTCTACTGATCTCCCTTCTATTTTCATGAGTGTCTCTCTCCTTTCCCTCTTCTCTCTCATTTCAGTTTCCTCCCTAACTTCCACATAAAACAGAAAACATAACAGTCCTTGACTGTCTGAGTGTGGCTTATTAAGCTTAACATGATGCTTCCTAGTTCCATCTATTTTTCTGAAATGACTAATTCCATTCTTCTTTATGGCTGAATAGAATACCATTGTGTGTATATATCACATTGTTTTTATTCTTTTATCTGTTGATGGACACCTAGGCTGGTTCCATGATTTGGCTATTGTGAATTGTGCTGCTATAAACATGGGTATGTATACATTCTCTATAGTATGCTGACTTCAGAGAATACCAAGGAGTGGTATGCTTGGTTCATATGGTGGTTCCATTCCTAGCCCCTTGAGGAACCTCCACACTGATTTCTACAGTGGCTGTATTAATTTACATTTCCACCAGTAGTGTATAGTTCCTTTTCCCCCACATTCTCACCAGCATTAATTGTAATTTGTATCTTTTTTTTTTTTTTTCCGGGGGGGGGGAGGTGTAGGGATTGAACTCAAGGGCACTCAACCACTGAGCCACATCCCCAGCCCTATTTTGTATTTTATTTAGAGACAGGGTCTCACTGAGTTGCTTAGCACCTTACCATTGCTGAGGCTG